TATATATTATATATTATGGTATTATACTTTTTTCATAATATAGTAATTTATTATTTGGTATTGCTTGTTACTATTCGTTCGTTCGTTCGTTCGTTCGCAAGACTTCTTGACGCCATGGCATTCTAGTTCCGCGACTCGATCGATATCTGCCAGATACCGAGAAGAGACACTGGACTAGAGGGGGTGGGGGGTAGGTGGGACGGGGTGGGGTGGGCATGAGGGGGCCAGAACACGAACAACCAGATTACTTCTTCGAGTACACCATAGAAATTTGATCATTAAATCCATAATTAATATCTTTGTCACTCATAAATCATTTGTTTTTTTTTTGGTAACTTTAGCTAAATTGTTTCCATCAATTTTATTATTTGATTTGATTTGATTTGATTTGATTTTTTTAAAATGATAAAATATATTTTGTTTTCTTTTTATTTATCTCGACCGAATTTGTTGTATGATATCATTTGTTCGAATGTAGTTTTGTAATTATATTAGAATTTGATCGTTGAAAGATCCAAAGAAAAATTAGAATTCAATTTTTTCCGTCATAGAATTATTATAAATATGGAATTGTAAATATTTGGTATAATGTATGGAATGTATAATATCATTTTTGTCGGATAAGATTGTTGCATATATTGTTCAGTTGTTTGTTAACTTAGCTATCATATATTATACGTACATACATATATATATATATTTTAATATTATATCGCATGCTATCTTTTTTCATGACACAAGTGTTGACGGGTTAGTGTGTGACCTTTTGCCTTTAAATGTCGTGTAATCTGTAATTGTACTTTGTCATATTGTATGTTCGAAGGAAAAGAAAAAAAGAAAAGAAAAAAAAAAGGATTAAAAAAAGGATTAAAAAAAGGGATGAATATTATATCGAATTTTTGTCGATATAAAACTATATATTGAGAAAGAATAATGGCGGATAAATAAGTGCAAATTTAAATAATATAAATGTAACAATTAAAAGTTTTTGAACAATTCATTTTTGTAATCCTTCGTACGTATTTTTCTTTGCGCGTAGATTTGGTATTATTGTTTATCTTTCGTACGCAATTAATTGTTTAACGTTGTAAACATATATTTGTTATTATCTTTTAATTATTTTTTTTTTATTAATTTCTTCTTTTTTCCTTTCTAAAATAATTTGTCTATACAAAAGTCCCGTCCGTCTGTCTCTCCGTGGTTTCTTTACAATCTTTGCCTAATTAATATTTAACAAATAAAAAATCAAATTTCCTTTTCCTCGTCCCCCCTATGCCCACCCCCCCACCACCCTTTTTTCTTTCTTCGTTTTTATTTCATATGAATTTTATTTCTTCTTCTTCTTCTTCTTCTACTTCTTCTCCTCCAACAATAAAAAAAACCAAAAAAAAAACAAAATTAAATGAAACTAACAAACCCAACAATGAAACAAACAAACAAACAAACAAATCTCCCCGTAATTGTCAAATTCAAAAGTCAAACATCGGAAAACTATTTTAGTAGCGGGCAGAGGTAGCGAACACGTCACCCTCGAGAGAAGGCCAGCAACAGTCGATAACCTCACCGAAGGTAAAACAGGAAGAAAAGGGGCACTCCCTTGCTCCATCTTGGTTTTTCATTTTTACCGACCGAGTCGAGCCGGCGAGTTTGCACCCCCCTCATTTAATTACAAACTCTTACCAACCGCTTGCGGCTTCTTTTTCTTACTTGTTTTTTTTTCTTTTATTTTTTCCTTCTTTAATTTCATTAGCTTATTTTTTTTCCAAGAGATAACGTTACTCGTTGTCCAAACGGAGAAAGCTTTCATAGGCCTGTGTTTTTATTGCTCACAATCTACTACTACTATTATTATAATAACTATACTACTACTATTATATATATATATATATAAATTGGTCAATAAGTTCATACAATTTTTGTCGTTCGTTCATATTTTGATTTAAATATAAATTTTTACTTTGTAATACTATTTATATTTGTGTTGTTTTTTCTTTTTAATATTTTTTGTTATAATAAAAATGAATGAAAGTCGACAAATATATCCGTTTCGTTAACGGTAGAACTTATTGTTCGATTTATTATATATTATTTTTGTTATTCATTTGAAAGAGTTGCATTATAATATATTGTATAATCCAATCTAGGGGTGCCGCCATATTGTAAAAGCTCTGAATTTGTATTTACATATTATTTACATTTACTATTCTCTATTTTATCAAACGAGCACCGTAGCCTCGCTCGGCCAGCCACGTTTGCGCACCAATCAACACCGCTATTATTAAGTTTTCTAATGCTTTATACGATCATTTGCAATCATCGATAACGACAATACATTTAATCTCTATTTTATATTCGATAGATACAAATTTTATTTATTTATTTAATTATTTTCACTAATTTTTCTAATTGTCAATGAAATTTTTCTACGGGTAATGAAGAAATCGTTTTTATCGACATATGCGGGAATTTATTTTTGTCTTTTTTTTTTCGTTAAAAATTAATTTCCTCGATAAGTTGAAAACGTTCGGCTGGTCGAGAGAATGAAATAATTTTGATTATAGTGATTTTATTGTTTTTAAAGTTACGATTTAAATATCATAATCAGCCAAATTTATCTTGACTCATTTAAGGGATGTTTTTATAATAACGAATTTAATGAAAATATGAAATTAACTATATTTATATATATTTGCAGTTATATGTAACGTGTTAGGAATATTGTGCAATATCGAATGTGTTTGAATTTTCATAAATATATTAATCATTGTACAAACCATCATCGAATATATTCATCTATATTCATCGTTTCTATTTCTACGAGAGTTTTGACATATTCATATTTATCAACACACAGGATGAGATATTTAAATAAGAATAATTAATTAATTAACGTTATTTTTATGATTTTATGAAAAAAAAAAAACAAATGACGAATATTTCAAAATTTTCTCAACAAATTATATTTTATCATTACACTAACTTGTTTTTCAAGTAATATAAACCTATATGTAAAATGAATAACTCTAATAAAATCATAAATAACAAAATGTTATTTAAATATTCTCATTTTTAAATGACTCACGTATTTTAAAGTATAGAATATTGTCTTAACCAAAAAAAAAAGAAAAGAAAAATGATTGACACCGTTTTTTGACGAACATTTAAAACTTCGTTCTTTCTTTCACAGGTATGCAGCTTCTATAGTGCGGATTGATTAACTCATTTACTGACACACTCTTATTTAATGCTTTTAGATCGAGATATAGGCTCGGTTTTTTTTTTTTAAGTTCTTTAATTATCTGTTCACTTAGATATATCAGTAGATTATTAAATTAATTCATTTATAATTGATTGTTATTTTAGTCTCTCGTATATTTATTATGTATCATTAAATCTGAGAATGATTGCGTTTAATATAATTTTAATAAATATTCATACACGTTCTTTGTTTTTTTGTATTAATTATTTGTATTATTTATTGTCAAATATTCTTGTTTTATTTTGTATTTTTTAGTGTTTTTCACAAGTTGAGAGTATCTATAAAGTTTATCTGCTTGACGTTAACACATTCATCGTAATTATTTTATGTTTTTAGAATAAACATTTTTTTTAGAAATTAGTTTTCTATGAAATTATTATTAAAGTATTACGAAGTATTACAAAAATTGTGGGATCGAGCCTGTATTTCATATTTCTAGAAAATTTTAGAATATAACAGAAGTAAATAAATTTTATCTATGAGATATATAAATATATACATATATATTTAAAAAAAAAAAAGAGAAAAAATGAATCAACGAATAATTTTGACAAATGACGATGGATAACATTGACGTTTTTCCCTCTTTTAGCAGCGAAACATTCGAAAATCTTCCCTGGTGTTGCATCGGAAAGCGATTTACAAAAATGGAGAACATCCAAGGATCGAAAATCACCTTCTCTAAGTCAAATGGGACCGGATTCTATCAAACACAAAGTAAGATAACATTTTATATACATTTTTCATAACGATTTATATTAATTCATATTTGATTTTTTCTTTTGTGTATTCATTAGTTATTGTATATTATTGTATATTATGCATTTTAGATTATTTTAATTCGTCGAAAGAAAAATCCAGAAGTTTTTAAATAATTTAATAACGAAAAGATTAAATTTCCAAAGCCACATTTTTTCTTTTTCAGATTGTAAAACTACGAGGTTTACTTGTTGAATTAAAAAAAGAAAAAAATGAAAAACTTAATTGAGAATCTAAAAAGAAAAATGAAAATAGTTTAATTCATTGTTTATATTATTTACGAACTTTTGGCACACCTTTTGCAATATCCGTGCATATCGAATAAAAATGATTAACCCGATTAGATTTGAATATGAATTCGATTAGAAATTTGTATGTTTAAATACGATCAGAATATGAAATGTAAGGGTTATTAGGAACAACATTTATATAGTACAGTAGGCTTATGCATGTTTAAAAATTAGTAATTTTTTTGTTTTGTTTACTGTATACCATACACGCGTGGGTTAATATTTTTGATAATTAATATAATAAAATATATTTTATATATTAATTTTCGCATATAACAAATATTCATGAACATTACATCAATTTATCTGTAGATAAATACTAATTAGTAATAATAATAATAATAATAATAATAATGCGTATATATGTATATATGTCGTACCAAGGAAGGCAAAAAGGAAGAACAAAAATTTATATTGTTGTTTCTTATTTTACAATTTTTTAGTTCTCTCTGCAGGACAACGGCTCGGCGAAATATTTTCAAGGAGCAATGCACACGCCAAATATGGGTGAAAAAGTAGCACAGGTAAGGGCACGAACAATTTTTATCCTATCTATTATTTTTCTTTTTTTTTTTTTTTTAAATAGAAAAAAGAAAAATGGCAGATTGGTGCTCGACGAAACATTATCGATTGCAAATCGTAACATCTTCGAAGTATCATCGAATGATTATTATTATTATTTTCTTATATGGGGTAGAGACTTATATACATACATACACATTTTTAATAGTATATTTTAAAACCTTTAGTTTCTGTTTTTATCAATCACGTAGAAAACGATATTCACTTTCATTTTGCTCCTTTTTATATTTTGTTCAAATTAATAAATTTTATAATCGTTAGAATAGTTCCTTTTATTTTGTCTTGGATATACTTTAATACGGCCCTGGACTGGCGCCATTCAGACTATGCCGCAGTATCGTGTGTAAAATAATTCAAGCACACAACTTGAGAATGATTTTCTACGTGTGTCGAGAATTAACAGCTAGTTTCTATATTTAGAATTAGAATTCGTTTTTTGTTTTCTTTTTTATAACGCTAATACGAGTAATTGATTTGTAATATCATTCGTGAAGAATAATATTTGATTAATTCTGTATTAAATATTACATACGATTTATTCGTTCGTATGTGTAGGTATTTATTGGATAACTTTTAAAAGTTATAGAAAAATATTTGTAATATTAAAAATATTAAACATATTATCCAACACATATTTACACGTACGAAATATTCTTTCGAAGAACAAAAAAATTGATACTCGACTATTCTAAAAAAAAAAAACAAAAAAAAGAAAAAAAAAGAAAAATGATTAGACTGTAACCTCTCAAGAATTTCTTTAGAATATTTTTTGGGGATGGGTTGATTCTGTATGGTTCTTAGAAAAATTCAAGTATCTCGTCTTGTCATACCTGTCATCTCGAGGGGGTTGGTAAGAGTAAAAAGGAAGGGGATGAAGAGAATTTTTTTTCAAGTGATTCTCACCCCTCACTCGAAACCCCTTTTTCTAAGACGGTGTTACAGTCTTTAAACAATTTTCAACGTTTCGTGCCTACATTGAAGTACTTATCCTCGAAGCAAACTTCCCCCAAAGGTATACACGAATCTATATATATATATATACACATATATGTTTGAATGTATTATATGCAGTTCTACCTATACAAGGTGTCCCGAAAATAGCTTCACGATTTTTAGTAGATCAAGTATATGAATGAATCCATATTTACATAAATCCACAGGTGTATCAAACTGAAGTATGTCAAATTGTAGTTTTAAAGTGTTTAGTAGTCAACGGTGTTAACGTTCGAACGTTCGATAGACTATTTGTTCTTTTTGTTGAACGAAATAGAAACATGGTCTAACCCAACGTTAGTATCGATAACCGATAGTAGAATACTACACGACTGCAAAACAATATTTTTTTTCTTTGTCGTTATTTTCTATTCTCGAAAGTTTCGTAGGTTGGTTCGTCGACCGTGCGGTTGAATAAAAATAATAAATGTTGGATAGGAAAAAAAATGGTTGAAATATTTAGAAAATTTATATACTATAAGCTGAAAAATATATTTCTTCCAAGAGAGAGAGAGAAAGAGAGAGAGAAAAAAAACAACAAGAATGTTAGGTAAGCGAAAGGGGTTTGAAATATTTGTTTGAGTTCGAGTTACGTTTAAATTCGTCTCGACGATTATTCGTTGTATTTTTTTCTCGAGTGGAAAAAGGAAAACAAGAGAAAAATAATACAAAATGGCAATGGAATCCGATCAATTCTTACAACGATTTGTTTGAAACGAAGAAAATATTGCAACAATGTCTTTTTTAAATCGTCCCGACTTTTCTACGACAATATATATAATTTCACAATAAAAAAAAAAGAAAAACTAAAAGAGAGAAGATAAATAAAATAGGCGAGAAAATCGAATATCGATAGAAGAAGAAGAAGAAGAAGAACGCCTTAGGGTGCGAGTCGATGTATCCAATTTCAAATCGAAATAAACCATGTCGATAAGGAAGAACTCGATATCAAAGAGAAAAAGAAAAACCTTCCTTTCCCTGGTTGTGAATTCTTTCGTAAGGATGGAACAAAAGTATTGTGTCATTTTGCATTAAGAAGAAAAAGAAAAAGAAATAAGTATGAAAGAAATAGAAGAAAAAAAGAAATATAAACGGGGAAAATTCGTCGATTGGAATATGGAAGAAGAGAAGTTACCCCCACTATTCTCACTCAATCCCCCCCACCACTACCATTGGCGATTTGCCTTTGGCTAAAGTACCGGAAGAAAAAACGAGACGGAACTAGACAGACTGAGTGTGGGAGTGAGTGAGTGAGAGCGTGGGGGAAAGAGAGAGAAAAGATGCGCGCGCAGGTTTTACCGCTAGGTGGCCGGTAGTTTGGTATCCTCGTCGACAGGCGGCGTGCTGATCAGTGTCGCAGTGTCCCCCGTCCTGCCCGGCAGGTTGCACACCGTCGGCACTCCGTCCACGTCGTCTCCGAGGGAAAAAATTCGCACACACATATGTAAAACGGTATCGAAAAAGAAATTCGAAGAAGTTGTTTTTTTTTTTTGGACTCTTCTTCACGGGCACGTATTATATTAACGTTCGAACGAAAGAAAAAAAAAAACAAAATATATATATATATATAAACATACATATATATTTTA